GGAGGGGTTGGATTTGAGTGGGACTTGCACATCAGAGCTTGTAATAAAGTTGGTAGAATTACCGACAATATATAAAGTAAAAGGACACAAGTGCAACTAATGTGACATTTACTGTGGCAACGTTTCGCTCTCCAGGAGCTTTATCAAGCCATTACAAACAATACATGGACACAGAGGGTATATAAAGGCTCAGAGTGAGGTGTAATACTAGTGAGGTACCATTTCAATGTTCACTAGTGGTACTAGTAGTAGTAGTAGTAGTAGTGATGAATGGTTTGAAAAACCGACAAGTTGAAGATTGAGACACTTATGCAGCATATGGGAATCTTTATTCAGGAAACGTTTCGCCACACAGTGGCTTCATCAGTCCAATACAAAGAGGAAGGCGTAAGGAGAGGAGGAGAATGAGGTAATCAGTCCCTCAACCTGGAGTCGATGTGTTCAGTCCATCAATCTTGTAGAATGTACAGCATAGGGCCGTAGACGTGGCTTATATACTGTAGTGAGGTGAGGTGAAGCAGGCGGAGGCGGGGTCATAGTGGTACCATCCACTAGTCGAAGTAGGTCTTCGTCCAAAGGTTGAACAAATGTTGAAGAATTCTTTGTAATAAGATCCCATGATGCTGCTGTGTCTGACAGTTGTGATGAATGGTTTGAAAAACCGACAAGTTGAAGATTGAGACACTTATGCAGCATATGGGAATCTTTATTCAGAAACGTTGTCGCCACACAGTGGCTTCATCAGTCCAATACAAAGAGGAAGGCGTAAGGAGAGGAGGAGAATGAGGTAATCAGTCCCTCAACCTGGAGTCGATGTGTTCAGTCCATCAATCTTGTAGAATGTACAGCATAGGGCCGTAGACGTGGCTTATATACTGTAGTGAGGTGAGGTGAAGCAGGCGGAGGCGGGTCATAGTGGTACCATCCACTAGTCGAAGTAGGTCTTCGTCCAAAGGTTGAACAAATGTTGAAGAATTCTTTGTAATAAGATCCCAGCAGCATCATGGGATCTTATTACAAAGAATTCTTCAACATTTGTTCAACCTTTGGACGAAGACCTACTTCGACTAGTGGATGGTACCACTATGACCCCGCCTCCGCCTGCTTCACCTCACCTCACTACAGTATATAAGCCACGTCTACGGCCCTATGCTGTACATTCTACAAGATTGATGGACTGAACACATCGACTCCAGGTTGAGGGACTGATTACCTCATTCTCCTCCTCTCCTTACGCCTTCCTCTTTGTATTGGACTGATGAAGCCACTGTGTGGCGAAACGTTTCCTGAATAAAGATTCCCATATGCTGCATAAGTGTCTCAATCTTCAAGTAGTAGTAGTAGTAGTAGTAGTAGTGACAAAAGTAATACAATATGGTAGAGCAATTAATTCGTACATGAGTAAAAGAATATAAAAGCTATTACTTGGGTAACATAAAAATAGGTTGGACAAATATAGACTGGAATGAGGCAGCTTGTTTCAGTGTTCACTCTGTGCTTTGTGTAGTATAACAGTAGAGACTATGTGATGGTAGGGTTTACTGTTTTCAGGAGGATTCTTGCTAAGACTTCGGAGATGGTGAAGCTGCCGTTGTTTTGTTTAATTGTATTCGAAACAGCGATCATTTGCTGATTCGAGGCACTTGCGTCTGCGGAATTGTTTCTTTGATCACTAATTGGGCGTCTCTAAATTTTCATGAGATGATTGGTGGAATTTCGGTGTTCTACACAGGCGTTGTTCAAGTTATCGTTCCTACATCGTAAATGTGTTCATTGAGGCGGGTGCCCGAGGTTTCTGGCCGTTTCACCTACGTAAATCTTGTCACAGCCTCCACAGGGTATAGTGTAAACTCCTGCATTGACTGGTTCGGGGTTTGCTTGGATTTTGTCCTGTTTATATCCTTATTGAAGTGCTAAAGCGATGGCGACTCTGGTGTTAGTTTGTGAAAGTACTTTTGAGACGTTCAGTGCAACCTGGCTGTTGGGAAGAATTATAACTTTGCTGGGAGTGGTGTTGATGCGTGGAGAATTTATCAACACCACTCCCAGAAAAGTTATAATTCTTCCCAACAGCCAGGTTGCACTGAACGTCTCAAAAGTACTTTCACAAACTAACACCAGAGTCGCCCCTCGCTTCTAGCACTTCAAAAGGATTAAAAAGGACAAAATCCAAGCACCACGAACCAGTCAATGCAGGAGTTTACACTATACCCCGTGGAGGGTGTGACAAGATTTACGTAGGTGAAACGGCCAGAAACCTCGACACCCCCCTCAATGAACACATTTACGCATGTAGGAACGATAACTTGAACAACGCCTGTGTACAACACCGAAATTCCACCAATCATCTCATGAAATTCAGAGACGCCCAATTAGTGATCAAAGAAACTAATTTCCGCAGACGCAAGTGCCTCGAATCAGCACTGATCGCTGTTTCGAATACAATTAAACAAAACAACGGCAGCTTCACCATCTCCGAAGTCTTAGCAAGAATCCTCCTGAAAACAGTAAACCCTACCATCACATAGTCTCTCCTGTTATACTACACAAACCACAGAGTGAACACTGAAACAAGCTGCCTCATTCCAGTCTATTTGTCCAACCTATTTTTATGTTACCCAAGTAATAGCTTTTATATCCTTTTACTCATGTACGAATTAATTGCTCTACCATATTGTATTACTTTTGTCACTACCACTACTACTACTACTACCACTAGTGAACATCGAAATGGTACCTCACTAGTATTACACCTCACTCTGAGCCTTTATATACCCTCTGTGTCCATGTATTGCTTGTAATGGCTTGATAAAGCTCCTGGAGAGCGAAACGTTGCCACAATAAATGTCACATTAGTTGCACTTGTGTCCTTTTACTTTACACATCAGAGCTTATTTCTTGGGTGGCATTGAAAATTGGGTTGGGCAAATGTTTTGTTAGTGGGATGAATTGTAAAGGACCTGCCTAGTATGGGCCAACAGGCCTCCTGCAGTGTTCCTCCTTTCTTATGTTCTTATGTATGTTCTATATACACAGATAACCCGCACATAGAAGAGGAGCTTACGACGACGTTTCAGTCCGACTTAGACCATTTACAGTCACATATCCTATATCCTTCCTGAATCTGAATTTTTCCAACTTGAAACCATTGTTGCGAGTCCTGTTTTGGCTAGATATTTTTAGCACGCTATTTACATCCCCTTTATTTATTAATGTTTTCCATTTATACACCTCAGTCATATCTCCTCAATTCTACGCCTTTCTAGAGTGCAGATTCAGGGCCCTCAGTCTATCCTCACAGGGAAGATATCTGATATAAGGGATCAACTTTGTCATCCTTCTTTGTACGTTTTCCAGAGCATTTATATCCATTCTGTAATACGGTGACCAGAACTGTGCAGCATAATCTAGATGAGGCCTAACCAAGGATATACAGAGCTGAACAATCTGAGGACTTCTATTATTTATACTTCTTGATATGAAGTCAAGGATTCTGTTAACTTCATTGCGAACACTTATGCACTGTTGTCTTGGTTTCAGATTACTGTTAACCAGAACTCCTTAGTAAATCCTTTTCGCAATCAGTAGTATTAAGATTTACATTATTTAGTTTATATGTGGCATGGTTATTTTCCTGTCCAACATTTAGAGCTTTGCAATTGTCTATATTAAACTGCATCTACCACTTCTTCGACCATTGAATCAGTCTATTCAAATCCTGGAGTGCTCTAATGTCCTCATTAGAATGAACTGGACGACCTATTGTGGTGTCATCAGCAAATTTTCTTATGTCGCTATTTATTCCCTTATCTATGTCGTCTATGTAAATTGTGAACAACAAGGGGCCCAACACCAACTCCTGTGGAACACCGCTTGTGACGTGCCCCACTCTGATTTCTCCCCATTTATGCAAACTCTCTGCTGCCTAATTGTCAACCATGCCTCTACCCCATACACAACACTGGTTCAAAATACTTCATCAGCAGCATAGAACAGGAGCAATATAGTATTTTAATCTCTTACTTCCCCGCTCATTTGCCTCTAGTTAATAATTATACTTAAATTATTGCAGGAATTACCTTGAGAATTTCTGCAGTCTCTTTCATGTCTACACAATGATTCCTTTGAACAGGGAATTCTGCTACTTTCTTAAATTGTTTGCTTATCGTCCTGGACTTCCGCAATATGGCTAGAGAATTAACTTTGAAGACTGTTCATTGCATGTATATAAGTGCTATACTTTGCTATTTGGGACTAATCACGAAACATTAAATCACAGACCGGATGACTTAACAAGTGCTTTAAAACGCGTACGGAGGGTGAAGTAACATGTTTGTAGAAGATACTGAATCCTTTAGAAAAAGAAAAGATATTGAAGCAGGAAGGTTAACGGACAGTACACACCAAAAAAGCAAGATGGAGGACTTAGTGTTACTCTTGTGAAGAGACGCGGCAGCACCACACACCTTTACCACAAAAATATATAGCTATACAATACAGAAATTTCTACAGTCACTTCAGGAGACTTCACGATACACTCACTTTCACGTGGTCATGTTCTTACAGTGTTTGATCTTTGGTATTAATCCAGTACATCATAAACTGAAAGTTGCTGACAGTGTACATCTTCTGTGTCTACACATTATATAACTCCTTTTCTAAGATCGGATCTGATGGAATCCCATTCCACAAGTGCTGTATGATCTTTAAGGGTTTAGCGCTTCCCCGTGAATGTCATAATTACTACTAGTACTACCAGTAGTACTATTATTACTACTACTACAAATAATAATATACACCTTGTAATAATGTATAAGTTAATTTATTACAGAAAACACCCGTCAGTCAGTAGAAGGCGTGGATCAAAATCTCGGACTTAATGATTCATGAAATGGAATCCAATGAGCAGGTAATCATATTGACAAAGTCGCGTCGTCACGTTAAATGTTACAATTATTAAGATTGATAACCTCGTGTGGCCCGCCTCGGCCTCCACTCACCCATGAAGATGCAGGCGGTCATGGAGAGGAGATGGGTGGCCATCTGTACGATGACGGTGGAGACTTGAGCGATGCAGAGGGCCAGGACGCTACACATGAGGCACCTCCCCAGCAAGTCTTGCAACTCCCCCACCATGCAGTACACGAGGAAAGTAGTAGCCAGGAATATTGCAGAGATGATGAGTCCCACGGGGTACAGTGTCTGGTACACCACACGGTCGAAACTAGACTCCTTCTGTTTGTATGTAAGGAAGAATTAAGAGACGCCTCGAGACATTGTTCAAGTAGATAAGAGTCCTCAGGTTGAAACAAATAAATAAAAGCATTATAGAACACAGTAAGGATAAAACAAAATAAAGCCTGGTTGCCAGAGCAATTAGATGTTCTGCTTCTAATTTTTTTTTGTATTGCTATGTGCAAGTGCTACCCGTCACAGGATGGATATCAGGTGAACACTGGCTACTCCGGCGGCAAAATATAATCTTTCTATGTATCCATTAACGAACAAACCACTCCTTTCTTGTGCTGAATAACCCACTAGCGTATATTTTGATCCAGTCCTCGTCTGAGAGAGTATTCTTGAAGAGAATCACATGAGTGTGGGTATTCCTGAGTGTGGGTAGTGTGGGTATTCTTGAGTGTGGGTAGTGTGGGTATTCTTGAGTGTGGGTAGTGTGGGTATTCTTGAGTGTGGGTAGTGTGGGTATTCTTGAGTGTGGGTATTCTTGAGTGTGGGTATTCTTGAGTGTGGGTATTCTTGAGTGTGGGTATTCCTGAGTGTGGGTATTCCTGAGTGTGAGTATTCCTGAGTGTGAGTATTCCTGAGTGTGAGTATTCCTGAGTGTGAGTATTCCTGAGTGTGAGTATTCCTGAGTGTGAGTATTCCTGAGTGTGAGTATTCCTGAGTGTGAGTATTCCTGAGAGTGAGTATTCCTGAGTGTGAGTATTCCTGAGTGTGAGTATTCCTGAGAGTGAGTATTCCTGAGAGTGAGTATTCCTGAGTGTGAGTATTCCTGAGTGTGAGTATTCCTGAGTGAGTATTCTTGGCCAGACGTCAAGAGATAAAGCAACACACTAAAAGCGAGTGACCTGTAGCACATTACTAGTGTCATAGAATATTAGTGACCCCTGCAACCATAAACAGGCGAGAACAGATAGATAGATATAGGTAGACAGAGATATAGATAGATATAGATAGAGAGAGAGAGAGAGAGAGAGAGAGAGAGAGAGAGAGAGAGAGAGAGAGAGAGAGAGAGAGAGAGAGAGAGAGAAACTGAATAAATTATGCATAGTTTGCAGATTAAAATTTAAATAGAAATATAAGTTGGCAACCACATAAGCTGGAGGACAAATTCCAAGAGTTTTGATAAGTTGCACTATGTTGCACTTAACTAGCACTATGTTGCACTTAACTAGCACTATGTTGCACTTAACTAGCACTATGTTGCACTTAACTAGCACTATGTTGCACTTAACTAGCACTATGTTGCAATTAACTAGCACTGTTGCATTTAAATTGCACTGTGTTGCACTTAACTAGCACTGTGTTGCACCTAACTAGCATTATGTTGCACTTAACTAGCACTGAGTTGCACCTAACTAGCACTGAGTTGCACCTAACTAGCACTGTGTTGCACCTAACTAGCATTATGTTGCACTTAACTAGCACTGAGTTGCACCTAACTAGCACTGAGTTGCACCTAACTAGCACTGTGTTGCACTTTCAGTAGGATGTTTGTCAGAGACTCGAGTAACAAAGTCCAGAAGCTGTGTAATGATACAAGTGTTACACATGTTTGCTACGTTACAGCAACACGTGTTGCTGTCCCGGTACAGTTGTCATAACAATAATATTATTAATTATTATTATTATTATTACTCGTATAGTGAGTAAAACTGCGACTTCAAATTGAACAGGATTATTATTTTTAACTATTATTATTAATAGTTAATAACTATTATTTTTAATTATTAATAATTATATTTTTTAAATTTTATTATTGCTGTTATTTTTAATTATTATTATAATTATTAAAGAATTATATATTTTATTCATGGTGAGACGCGAGGGACAAATTCTGGTGCTCAGCCTTGATGTTCTTGTTCTGGTGTTCAGCCTTGATGTTTTGTTCTGGTGTTCAGCCTTGATGTTCTTGTTCTGGTGTTCAGCCTTGATGTTCTTGTTCTGGTGTTCAGCCTTGATGTTCTTGTTCTGGTGTTCAGCCTTGATGTTCTTGTTCTGGTGTTCAGCCTTGATGTTCTTGTTCTGGTGTTCAGCCTTGATGTTCTTGTTCTGGTGTTCAGCCTTGATGTTCTTGTTCTGGTGTTCAGCCTTGATGTTCTTGTTCTGGTGTTCAGCCTTGATGTTCTTGTTCTGGTGTTCAGCCTTGATGTTCTTGTTCTGGTGTTCAGCCTTGATGTTCTTGTTCTGGTGTTCAGCCTTGATGCTCTTGTTCTGGTGCTCAGCCTTGATGCTCTTGTTCTGGTGCTCAGCCTTGATGCTCTTGTTCTGGTGCTCAGCCTTGATGCTCTTGTTCTGGTGCTCAGCCTTGATGTTCTTGTTCTGGTGCTCAGCCTTGATGTTCTTGTTCTGGTGCTCAGCCTTGATGTTCTTGTTCTGGTGCTCAGCCTTGATGTTCTTGTTCTGGTGCTCAGCCTTGATGTTCTTGTTCTGGTGCTCAGCCTTGATCTTGTTCTGGTGCTCAGCCTTGATGTTCTTGTTCTGGTGCTCAGCCTTGATGTTCTTGTTCTGGTGCTCAGCCTTGATGTTCTTGTTCTGGTGCTCAGCCTTGATGTTCTTGTTCTGGTGCTCAGCCTTGATGTTCTTGTTCTGGTGCTCAGCCTTGATGTTCTTGTTCTGGTGCTCAGCCTTGATGTTCTTGTTCTGGTGCTCAGCCTTGATGTTCTTGTTCTGGTGCTCAGCCTTGATGTTCTTGTTCTGGTGCTCAGCCTTGATGTTCTTGTTCTGGTGTTCAGCCTTGATGCTCTTGTTCTGGTGCTCAGCCTTGATGTTCTTGTTCTGGTGCTCAGCCTTGATGCTCTTGTTCTGGTGTTCAGCCTTGATGCTCTTGTTCTGGTGTTCAGCCTTGATGCTCTTGTTCTGGTGCTCAGCCTTGATGTTCTTGTTCTGGTGCTCAGCCTTGATGTTCTTGTTCTGGTGCTCAGCCTTGATGTTCTTGTTCTGGTGCTCAGCCTTGATGTTCTTGTTCTGGTGTTCAGCCTTGATGCTCTTGTTCTGGTGTTCAGCCTTGATGCTCTTGTTCTGGTGCTCAGCCTTGATGTTCTTGTTCTGGTGCTCAGCCTTGATGTTCTTGTTCTGGTGCTCAGCCTTGATGTTCTTGTTCTGGTGTTCAGCCTTGATGTTCTTGTTCTGGTGTTCAGCCTTGATGTTCTTGTTCTGGTGTTCAGCCTTGATGTTCTTGTTCTGGTGTTCAGCCTTGATGTTCTTGTTCTGGTGTTCAGCCTTGATGTTCTTGTTCTGGTGTTCAGCCTTGATGTTCTTGTTCTGGTGTTCAGCCTTGATGTTCTTGTTCTGGTGTTCAGCCTTGATGTTCTTGTTCTGGTGTTCAGCCTTGATGTTCTTGTTCTGGTGTTCAGCCTTGATGTTCTTGTTCTGGTGTTCAGCCTTGATGTTCTTGTTCTGGTGTTCAGCCTTGATGTTCTTGTTCTGGTGTTCAGCCTTGAGGTTCTTAAAGTTCTTCATTTTGTTATGAATGTAGACGGATAATACGTATAAATAGATAAAAGAAATATATTTGATAATTAATAGATAATAGATATATGTGTAGATACTGGATAACACAGAAGACATGTTATAAGACATTCCCTTATATAGGCCTTAAAATTAGTCATTCCATGAGGGAGAGAAAATTCCATATTCTGACACTCAACTGAGAGAAAGTTCCTTATTATGACACGCAACTGTGAGAAAGTTCCTTATTATGACACTCAACTGAGAGAAAGTTCCTTATTATGACACAACTGAGAGAAAGTTCTTTATTCTGATCCTACGATGGGAAAAAAATTCTTGCCCTGTCTCTCAGCGAGAGAGAGAGAGAGAGAGAGAATCGTCACACTTTATTCATCCTTTACAAGAGGTAATAAGCAATGAGGGAAGAATTCCTCACCATTCTCACCTTATCGGGGAAGCAGACTATGGCTTCCACCTGTTCCTCCGTCACCAGCAGACAGAACTGGTCGGTGGAGAGTCTGCGGTTGGTGTTAGACGGTATCACCAGCTGTCCTGTCGGTGAGATGGAAAGATAACCTTGGCGAGTTTGGAACAGAACTATTTATTGCATATTTCTAGGAGGGGAGTGTGGGGGGAGGGGGGTAACAATTTTTTTCTTATGATGTAGAAAACATTGCAATTATCTAATGAAGTGAAAGTAGTGTGATGGAAAAAGATCCTGGACACGATGATTCATGTTTCACTAATATGATCAGGTGACAGTGTTGACACGAGGAGCTGATGGTGTTGACACGATCAACTGACGGTGCTGACACGATGAGCTGATTATGTTGACACAATCAGCTGATGATACAGGTAAACAATAGCAGTTTATGTTCCTGGGGTCAAGAGACTTCTCCAGTACAGCGGTGATTGTTGACCTACCCAGCTATGGCATTATAAAACGATGTTTCAATAACTTAATGATGATGGTAAGACAACTATAGTACGACCACTGATGCATCTTGCAGCCACTCACCATTTGGCAGAAGATGGAAAGCGTCCTCTGGCTCCACCTCCGGCTGCAGACTGAAGAAGGTACAGTTAGGGAAGCCTGCTCGTACTTTGTAAGCGAACTGGTACTCCACAGGCAGTCCATCCTGAAACGATAAGTAGTGAATCTTCTGGCCTTAGAGAGACATGTACAACTGCAGCATGAGACAGAGACATTGTCCCTCCCTGAGTCCTAATGACATAAGACCACGAGCATAGCTGCGTCTCTCACTACCAACAGACATTAACTGATAAGTAATTAGGTACCGATATAAACATATGCAAGAATCAGTCATTGGACCCATTCATTCTGTTTCTGATGCACATAGGTGATTGACATGGAAAACAATTTCCTACATGTTAATGTTCCCAGACGAGGTGAAGAGATGTGTTAAAACATAACTGCAGCAAGTCTTGGACAAACTGCAGAGATAAGACTGTCATGTTACTATTAATTATACAGTTGTAATAAAGTTGGTAGAATTACCGACAATATGTAAAGTAAAAGGACACAAGTGCAACTAATGTGACATTTATTGTGGCAACGTTTCGCTCTCCAGGAGCTTTATCAAGCCATTACAAACAATACATGGACACAGAGGGTATATAAAGGCTCTGAGTGAGGTGCAATACTAGTGAGGTACCATTTCGATGTTCACTAGTGGTAGTAGTAGTAGTAACAAAAATTTTTTGTTACTACTACTACCACTAGTGAACATCGAAATGGTACCTCACTAGTATTGCACCTCACTCAGAGCCTTTATATACCCTCTGTGTCCATGTATTGTTTGTAATGGCTTGATAAAGCTCCTGGAGAGCGAAACGTTGCCACAATAAATGTCACATTAGTTGCACTTGTGTCCTTTTACTTTACAATTATACAGTTATTGATGAACTTTGTGAGGACTTCCTGGGGATGGTGGAGGGCAGAGTGCCTCCGAATATGGGAAAGACTCTTGAAGCACATAAAACATTATTAAAACTACGTTTCACTTAAGAGTTCTTCTTGAGAGAAACGTTGTCTCTATATAGTCTTGCTCTGCACTAAATGTGTTTGCAATTGAAAGTCCACAACTGTATGGAATTTCACATACCGTTCTAGTCATGGACATGTCACTGCTACTAGGTGTCTGGTTTGAATTCAAGTAATCTTTATGTGATTTCTCACTTTAATGATACTTCGAGACTCATTTCCACTACTGGTCACTTAATGTCTCACAGGTGTGTGCAAAGTGAAGAACTCAGGTGACACACTTAACATTTCGCAAAACCTACGCTGTTATAGATAGGAAATACACACCAACTCTAACTAGGACATTTATTAAGAAAAGCCTTTCGTCATCCATTGGCTTTGTCTAACCAATTGGATGGCGAGAAAAGTTTACCTTAATACAGTGTCCTGGTAACCGCGTGCATCTTTCTTACGTACTTGACACTTCAGCCTCGCCTATGTTGATGAGGAATTTATGCATAAACAAATATTCTTGAAAATTTGATATGCACTGCACGTACAATTTTGCAATAGATTTCAGTACAAACGAAAAAAAATAGAGGGCTAGCAGACAGCTTGGGTGACTAAAATAGATGCGGTGAAAACTGGCCGAGGGGTAATAATAAACCTGCTCAAGACAGGTTCATATCACAACTGAACCTAGAGTGAGCTAGATCAAGGGTCGCTAAACTTGTTCTTCAAGTGGACCACATCAAAGTCTAAAATTTGGGAAGGGGCCCAACTTCAAGAACACAGAGCAGTACAACTGTGGATATTTAACCAAAGGGAACATTAACCACAATGTTAATACAATCAGTAAATGAAAAAAAAACTTAAAATGAGAGTAACTCAATGATGAACTTGTTCTCGTTATATATATATATATATATATATATATATATATTATATATATATATATATATAATATATATATAATATATATATATTATATATATATATATATGCAATAAGATCACAGTAAACAGGTGATTTCAGAATATGCAAAACAACCACTCTGAAAGAATAGAGAAATTCCAAGCGCTTTCGTGACTACTCACATTATCAAGGAACTATGAAAGTAAAGCATCCAAGGAAGCTATATAAGGGGTCTGGCCAGCACCTCACTATCAGATCCCACAACGGTTAAACACCTGACGCGCGCCGACCCAACTTGGATAGGTCCTTTGCACAACTCACCCACAAACTATTCTACCCAAGAAACTTTAAAAATTATTATTTGTCCAGTGTATTATTAAATTCTTCCCAAATTCTATTAATTATAAATGGATCTAATTTATAAATATTCATATTATTGTCAAAACTGCTTTTTATGAAACAAGATTCAATTATATTCCTGTCGACCATGGACTTGCTTGATACTACTTTCTCAACTTTTTGAAAATCAATTGGATGGTTAAAATCTCTTGCATGAATAAATAGAGCATTGGAATCTTGTCCAGTTCTAATGCTATATTTATGTTGTTTTAATCTAAGTTCGAGATTTTTACCAGTTTGACCGTAATGAACTTTATCGCAAATTTTACAATAGTTCCTGACTATGGAACTGAACTTCTCCAGGCCGAGGGACTGACAACCTCAAATTCTACGACTTCAAGGGTGATGGACTGATTACATCTCTACTGTTCCTGCCTACTTTCTGTATTCGACTGAAGAAGCCTATTGTGTAGGCGAAACGTTTCGGAATAAAGTTGTCTAACTGTTGCATATGTGTCTTACCTAACAAGTAATCTTATAGACACATCCATCAGCATTTTGGGGGGAATTCTTTATCAAAAGTTTTTTTACTGTATCAAGATTTTTGAACACAACTTTAATATTAAAAGTCTTAAGAAGAGAAGGCATATCAACCAAGTTTTCATGGTAAGGGAGAATCAGCCTTATTCAACTAAAAATATGTTGATTCTCCCTTACCATGAAAACTTGGTTGATATGCCTTCTCTTCTTAAGACTTTTAATATTAAAGTTTTATTCAAAAATCTTGATACAGTAAAAAAACTTTTGATAAAGAATTTCCCCAAAAATGCTGATGAATGTGTCTAAGATTCCTTGTAAAATTTGCGATAAAGTTTATTACGGTCAAACTGGTAAAAATCTCGAACTAAGATTAAAACATAAATATAGCATTAGAACTGGACAAGATTCCAATGCTCTATTTATTCATGTAAGAGATTTTAACCATCCAATTGATTTTCAAAAAGTTGAGAAAGTAGTATCAAGCAATTCCATGGTCGACAGGAATATAATTGAATCTTGTTTCATAAAAAGCAGTTTTGACAATAATATGAATATTTCCTTTGGTTTATATAAATTAGATCCATTTATAATTAATAGAATTTGGGAAGAATTTAATAATACACTGGACAAATAATAATTTTTAAATTTTCTTGGGTAGAATAGTTTGTGGGTGAGTTGTGCAAAGGACCTATCCAAGTTGGGTCGGCGCTCATGGCATTGGGGGAAGGGTGCTCTCGTGGATCGAATCATGGCTCACAGACAGGAAGCAAAGAGTGTCCATAAATGGGGTTAAATCCGAGTGGGGATCAGTAACAATTGGCGTTCCACAGGGATCAGTCTTGGGCCCGTTGTTGTTTATAATATATATCAATGATCTTGATGAAGGAATTACTAGTGATATGAGCAAATTCGCCGATGACACGAAGATAGGTAGGATAATTGATTCAAACGTAGATGTTAGGGAACTTCAGGAGGATTTAGACAAACTACTCTTGGTCAGAAAAGTGGCAGATGCAGTTCAATGTAGATAAATGCAAGGTTCTGAAGCTCGGAGATGTCCATAACCCTAGCACTTATAAGTTAAATAATGTAGAACTTAACCATACAGATTGCGAAAAGGACTTGGGGGTTATGGTAAGCAGCAACCTTAAACCAAGAGAGCAATGCCTAAGCGTACGTAATAAGGCAAATAGATTACTGGGATTTATATCAAGAAGTGTAAGCAACAGAAGTCCAGAGGTCATACTGCAGCTTTATACATCATTAGTAAGGCCTCACCTAGATTATGCAGTTCAATTCTGGTCTCCATATTACAGAATGGACATAAATTCGTTAGAAAACATTCAGCGTAGGATGACTAAATTAATACATAGCATTAGAAATCTTCCTTATGAAGAAAGATTGAAGACTCTTAATTACATTCACTTGTTAGACGAAGAATGAGGGGAGACCTGATCGAAGTGTATAAGTGGAAGATAGGTATTAATAAAGGGGATATTAACAAGGTCTTGAGAATATCTCTCCAAGAAAGAACCCGCAGTAATGGATTTAAATTAGATAAGTTTAGATTTAGAAAGGACATAGGAAAGTATTGGTTTGGAAATAGGGTAGTAGATGAGTGGAACAGTCTACCTAGTTGGGTTATTGAGGCTAGGACTTTGGGTAGTTTCAAATTTAGGTTGGATAAATACATGAGTGGGATGGGTTGGATTTGAGTGGGACTTGCACATCAGAGCTTATTTCTTGGGTAGCATTGAAAATTGGGTAGGTCAAATGTTTGTTAGTGGGATGAATTGTAAAGGACCTGCCTAGTATGGGCCAACAGGCCTGCTGCAGTGTTCCTCCTTTCTTATGTTCTTATGTTCTTATGTTAACCGTTGTGGGATCTGATAGTGAGGTGCTGGCCGACCCCTTATATAGCTTCCTTGGATGCTTTACTTTCATAGTTCCTTGATAATGTGAGTAGTCACGAAAGCGCTTGGAATTTCTCTATTCTTTCAGAGTGGTTGTTTTGCATATATATAATATACATGCATATTTGGCGAGATACTTCAGCCTCATATCGTATAACAATGGCAGAATATACCAACAAATAAATTATTAAGACAACGTGTGATTTATGGCATATTTAGCTACACACAAGATCAGTTAAGAGCCGCATGCACCCGTAGAGTCGCTTGTTGGTGACCCCTGGAACCCTAAATGAACTCAGTCTGCTTCTAGATTTTATCTTGCCTTTCCCTCTTCATATCCTCTCCTCACTCATATTATTATTATTATTATTTACTGTGCATACACTACGGTATACACTACCGGCAGGTTGATGCATAAGACATGTGCAACACCTGGGTATCTTCATCATAAATAGACTCAGGTGTTGTACATATGTCTTATTCCTGAGTATGCTGGTGGTTGGCGCTCACCTCATGATGGAAGGATATCAAAGGTTTCTCCTGGGCAGGGTCACAGCTCATCTTGCTCATGTTGAAGACCATGTCGAAACCACAGCACACAGGCACCGTCACGTTGGCCTCTATCTCCCCGACCTCCAGCAGTGCTTCCACCTTCTCTTCCACCTCCTCCTGGGTGAGGGGAGAGGCTCTGCCTTCCTCGTTGACGGTGTTTTGCCCGCTGCTGGCTCCAGAGCCTGCCACTCCCACCACCAGCAGCGCCACCAGCAGAAGGCCACACGTCGCAGAGGCCATCTTGCTGCTCCTGAAGGAGGAAGTGAGTTTAATCCCCCAAAAACCAAAAACCCAAACCCACACCCCATAAATCACCCACCATACCCACCATAAACCCACAAAACCCCCATAACCCACAAAATAAAAACCCCATATAAAAAACAAACCAAACCCAAACACTCAAAATTTTAAAAAAATATAAAACCCCCCAAATAAAATACCCAAATAACATTTAAAAATAACCCCATTCCCCAAATATACTCCATTTTTAAAATACCCCCAATATAAAATAACCAATATAAAATACCCCTTTTTTACACCCCAATACCCCTTCCCAAAATAACAATAACCCACAATCCCAAACCAAAAAACCACATTTACACAATTAACCAAAACAACCTATCCACTTACCACAATCCCACAATACACAACCAACACCCAAATCCCCCATAAACCCACAATACACACCTACACCCCGATACACACATACCCCCAACACCTATCCCCCAAAATACACCCATAACCCACAATACACACCTATCCCCACAATACACACCATATCCCCACAATACAACCCATATACCCCAATACACACCAATCCCCCACAATGACCCCATACCCAAAATAACACCATACACCCACAATACACCCCATTACCCACAATACACACCTATACCCAAAAAACACACCATTCCCCACAATACACCCAACCCCCACAATACAACCATAACCCAATACACCCCATTCCCCACAATACACACCATACACCCACAATACACCCCAAATTTACCCACTAAACACCTACACCACAATACACCCCATTCCCCCAAAATTCACACCATATACCCAATACACACCATACACCCACAATACACACCATATCCCCCACAATACACACCATTAACAAAAACACACCTATACCCACAATACACCCCATATACCCCACACACCCATCACCCACAAACACACCATACACCACAATACACACCATACCCCCACGTACACCCAAAACCCCCACAACCCCATATACCCAAAATAAAAACCCCAACACCCACTTTACAACATTCCCCACCTACCACCTATACCCCCCTTACACACCATATACCCACCCATATTAAAAACCGCCCTATACAAGCGTTATTTTTTTAAACTTTATGAATAAGGTAAGATATCCTCTTTTTTATGCTTTTTTCCATTTCCCCCATTTTTTTTAATTATTTTTCGTTAATTAGTTTACTTTTAAGTTGGGTTAATTGGTAAAGTTCCCTGATGATTTCCCCGTAAAGAGAGGGATGCAAGGGGTCTTGATCCGGGAACTAGAGCTGTTTTCCCCTCTGAATAATCCCCGTAAAACCCCTTCGCTAGGGATTGTACTTGATCCGAAAAAAAGGGAGAAAAGAGCTCTAATTTCTTTGATCAAGAGCCTTCCACCATCAAGAGTGCAGCCCCTCCCTAGGGGACCCAGTAACCGTTACGAACGCCTTGTTATTTTGCGGCAGCGTCACACCACTGTCACCGTCACAATCAGGTTCAAACCCTTTGTTTTTTTACCTAAGAACACTTGTTTTCTGACTGGGCATTTTGGTGTGTCTGTTTTTGTCAGGGGTGGTGGTCATTGTGGGGTGCCGGTGTGTCATGTGTGGTGTCAGGTTTTCATGTGTGGGTGCCAGGTTGGGTGTCTGTGTGGTGGTAGGTGTGGGTGTCTGTGTGGGTGTCAGGTGTGGGTTTTCAACATGGTGGGTGTAAGGCGGGAGTTTCCCCCCCCGGGGTGAGGCAACAGAAGGAAAGTGAAAAAATATTTTTTCTCTTTTCTTCCTCCCTTTGTACCTTTGTTCTTCCTCCCCCTTGATACATTTGTTTTTTCCTCCCCCTTGATACCTTTGTTTTTTCCTCCCTCTTTTACCTTTGTTTTTTTCCTCCCCCTTGATACATTTGTTTCTTCCCCCCTCTTTATACCTTTTTTTTTCCTCCCTTTGATACCTTTGTTTCTTCCCCCCTTTGTACCTTTGTTTCTTCCTCCCCTTGATACCCTTTGTTTCTTCCCCCTCTTGAACCTTTGTTTCTTCCTCCCTCTTGATACATTTGTTTCTTCCTCCCTCTTGATACATTTGTTTCTTCCTCCCTCTTGATACATTTGTTTCTTCCTCCCTCTTGATACATTTGTTTCTTTCCTCCTCTTGATACATTTGTTTCTTCCTCCCTCTTGATACATTTGTTTCTTCCTCCCTCTGATACATTTGTTTCTTCCTCCCTCTTGATACCTTTGTTTCTTCCTCCCTCTTGATACCTTTGTTTTCTTCCTCCCTCTTGATTACATTTGTTTCTTCCTCCCTTGATACCTTGTTTCTTCCTCCCTCTTGATACATTTGTTCTTCTTCCTCCCTCTTGATACATTTGTTTTTCCTCCCTCTTGATACATTTGTTTCTTCCTCCCTCTTGATACATTTGTTTCTTCCTCCCTCTTGATACCTTTGTTTCTTCCTCCCTCTTGATACCTTGTTTCTTCCTCCCTCTTGATACATTTGTTTCTTCTCCCTCTTTGATACCTTTGTTTCTTCCTCCCTCTTGATACATTTGTTTCTTCCTCCCTCTTGATACATTTGTTTCTTCCTCCCTCTTGATACATTTGTTTTCTTCCTCCCTCTTGATACATTTGTTTCTTCCTCCCTCTTGATACATTTGTTTCTTCCTCCCTCTTGATACATTTGTTTCTTCCTCCCTCTTGATACATTTGTTTCTTCCTCCCTCTTGATACCTTTGTTTCTTCCTCCCTCTTGATACCTTTGTTTCTTCCTCCCTCTTGATACATTTGTTTCTTCCTCCCTCTTGATACCTTTGTTTTCTTCCTCCCTCTTGATACATTTGTTTCTTCCTCCCTCTTGATACATTTGTTTCTTCCTCCCTCTTGATACATTTGTTTCTTCCTCCCTCTTGATACATTTGTTTCTTCCTCCCTCTTGATACATTTGTTTCTTCCTCCCTCTTGATACATTTGTTTCTTCCTCCCTCTTGATACATTTGTTTCTTCCTCCTCTTGATACCTTTGTTTCTTCCTCCCTCTTGATACCTTTGTTTTCTTCCTCCCTCTTGATACCTTTGTTTCTTCCTCCCTCTTGATACATTTGTTTCTTCCTCCCTCTTGATACATTTGTTTCTTCCTCCCTCTTGATACCTTTGTTTCTTCCTCCCTCTTGATACCTTTGTTTCTTCCTCCCTCTTGATACATTTGTTTCTTCCTCCCTCTTGATACCTTTGTTTCTTCCTCCCTCTTGATACCTTTGTTTCTTCCTCCCTCTTGATACCTTTGTTTCTTCCTCCCTCTTGATACCTTTGTTTCTTCCTCCCTCTTGATACATTTGTTTCTTCCTCCCTCTTGATACATTTGTTTCTTCCTCCCTCTTGATACATTTGTTTCTTCCTCCCTCTTGATACATTTGTTTCTTCCTCCCTCTTGATACATTTGTTTCTTCCTCCCTCTTGATACATTTGTTTCTTCCTCCCTCTTGATACATTTGTTTCTTCCTCCTCTCTTGATACATTTGTTTCTTCCTCCCTCTTGATACATTTGTTTCTTCCTCCCTCTTGATACATTTGTTTCTTCTCCCTCTTGATACATTTGTTTCTTCCTCCCTCTTGATACATTTGTTTCTTCCTCCCTCTTGATACATTTGTTTCTTCCTCCTCTTGATACATTTGTTTCTTCCTCCCTCTTGATACATTTGTTTCTTCTCCCTCTTGATACATTTGTTTCTTCCTCCTCTTGATACATTTGTTTCTTCCTCCCTCTTGATACATTTGTTTCTTCCTCCCTCTTGATACATTTGTTTCTTCCTCCCTCTTGATACATTTGTTTCTTCCTCCCTCTTGATACATTTGTTTCTTCCTCCCTCTTGATACATTTGTTTCTTCCTCCCTCTTGATACATTTGTTTCTTCCTCCCTCTTGATACATTTGTTTCTTCCTCCCTCTTGATACATTTGTTTCTTCCTCCCTCTTGATACATTTGTTTCTTCCTCCCTCTTGATACATTTGTTTCTTCCTCCCTCTCGGTACCTTTGTTTCTTCCTCCCTCTCGGTACCTTTGTTTCTTCCTCCCTCTCGGTACCTTTGTTTCTTCCTCCCTCTCGGTACCTTTGTTTCTTCCTCCCTCTCGGTACCTTTGTTTCTTCCTCCTCTCGGTACCTTTGTTTCTTCCTCCCTCTCGGTACCTTTGTTTCTTCCTCCCTCTCGGTACCTTTGTTTCTTCCTCCCTCTCGGTACCTTTGTTTCTTCCTCCCTCTCGGTACCTTTGTTTCTTCCTCCCTCTCGGTACCTTTGTTTCTTCCTCCCTCTCGGTACCTTTGTTTCTTCCTCCCTCTCGGTACCTTTGTTTCTTCCTCCCTCTCGGTACCTTTGTTTCTTCCTCCCTCTCGGTACCTTTGTTTCTTCCTCCCTCTCGGTACCTTTGTTTCTTCCTCCCTCTCGGTACCTCCGTTTCTTTTACACTATTTGTTTTGCTTCTGTATTCTCGGCCCTTTTTTTTTCTCTCTCTTTCCTCCAATTTGCCATTCTCTTCCCATCGAACACTCTCCCTATGTCTCATACATCTTCCTCCCTCACTCTCCAATTCCATAGATCAAGAGCCCTTCACCAGCATCAAATCATGGTTCTTATCATACATAGTATGAAAAGAACAGGATCTTATCGGCCTGTTGCTTCCCCCCCCCTGTCATCCTTCTTAGTGCCTCTCTCACTTCCCTCATACTCTCGGCTCTAATATACCTCATTCCTCTCTCTCCCCCCCTCTTTTTTTACGAGCTTTCCATCTTTATTTCCTCAACCACTTGTCAAAAGTATTCCATCTCTCTAACAAATCTGTCTCCTCGTTCAACATCTAGCCGCATTCATTCTCAATTGTCTAGTTAACCTGCTAACTTTATCTCTCCGAGATCTTGTTTTTTTATTCTTAGGAATAGCTGTCGATTAAGACTTGTGGATTCTTTGCTTTTTAAAACTCTTTTAGCATTTATTTATCTTCAGATATCTTCTCCA